ATACCATTTTAAAGTACAAGTAATTGTTATGGTGAATGCTTTCCCTCTTATTGAAAGAGTTAAATAGTTAATAAAGCCTAAACCAATTGTGTATGTTCAGTTTTCTAGGAATATATAGTAATAGGAATGTTGTCTCTTTCATGTATTTTTCAAAGTTTGAATTTACCATGCTAAAAACATCTTTCCGATTGCTGGACAAGTATATAAGGCTTGAAAAGATGAAATCAAAATGGTATCACAGTCAAACTAATGTCTTCCCTTCTTTATAAAGAAAAATTTTGTTTCGATGTTACTGTATCTATGCCTTTATAAGTATGCTGTTTAAGAATTACACTGTTCAGATGATCTGAGGCTCGTCTGAATTTAAGAAAAATCATGCAACAAAACCAATTTGCTAAGCAAATAAAATAGACTCAAATTTGGGAGGAAATGACATCATAGTTCCTTTTCTAACTCACCAAATGACAGTATTTGGAAGCAGAAATTGAACAGACTTTTGAGAGATGTATATAAGTCAAGAGATACTACACAAAATGAATGTCATTAAATGACATTACCGGTGTATGAGATGTAAAGAAAAGAATTCGAGAAAAAAGTTGTCAAATGTATTTTTTAATTTTTTTGCTCATGTAGTAAAACGTTTTTTATTACCCTGTGATTGATGAAAAATGAAAAAAGGAAATTTTTTTTTTTGGAGCCAAATGTGACTAATATTTTTTATGAGGTTTGACATTTGAAAGAAATGTGCAGGATTTTGCGTAGAAAGGTATCACCTGCACAGTACACAAGTACAGACTTTCGATTTCTTTCCATAAATTTCATGGCTGGAGAACATATTAGCAATTAAAAAGCAAAAATTACTCAACATGTGTAGGGGTGTGTAAAAAAACTAGGAAAAAGTATTCTGTGGGTTATATAAAAACATATGAAAAGACAGGTACACCTTCCTGTATGCCTAATTAAAAATAATATTTAAAACATGTGGTTTATTACAAATTTAAGCTGGCCACATGGGTTTTGGATTTAAAATTACTGATGTAATATTGTAAACAACTAGATTAATACCAAGGACACAGTTTTACTGTTCACTTTAAAAATATGTGCATTAAACAGTCATTTGTCTGGAAATGTGTTGATCTTGTTTTCAAATATATTTCTGAACAAACTTGGAAAATTATTTTGACGAATCAAAAGCTTAAAAAAAATCAGAACAAATCCTTCACTTTGACATTGTTAAATCATACATACATCAAGCAAATCCAAATGTGGTTTGTTTAAATGTTTGAGGTTTCATGTTTCAGGGTCCATTTCTTTACTGAGGTAAAGTTGAGGCCTGATACTGCTCACATTGAAACCTATCACTAAAAATATTGAGCAATCATTTCATTTTTCATCAAGAGTATTTCAATGTTATTTATCTCCATTAAGAGATGGGATTATTGAGATGTAACATCTATATTTCTGAAATAAGGTTTTATTATTGCTATTAATCATTATGGAAAATTCACATTATATTTCAAGATCAATTTTCACCTTATATAGATTTCTTATCCTTTGTATTGTCATTTCAATTATATTCAAATATCATCTATTGCTACAAATAATCATTCATTCTTTGTAAAACCATGAAATGTTTAAGGCATGAACACAATTAAAGCAAAACTCTCTAAGACATTATCATAAAGTTCTATTATTATACTACATCTTCTCAGAGTAGGTGCTTTACTAGTGATATATGTTTCAAATAAATAGCTAGAAAAATGTTCTTGTCTTGTTTCTTTCAGTAGTGTAGGCTACCAATGGCATCTCTATGATTAATTTGGTGAGGGGGTTCTGTAGGGATCACAGAAATGCCAAGGGGGCTCACAGGCTCTTAGGCAGCCACCCTCAATTCAAGAAAATGTTGTTGTATTGTCTCTTTCTGAAGGGATTTCCAACAAGGGTTTCTAGATTTATAAGACATTAGTGTTAGCTATTGAAGAGACAGTTTGTGCTTAGTTTAGAGCACAGCCTAACTCCTATGTAATGTACTATGTCCTAAACATTACAGTAATCCAGTTCCTGGTCTTTTCGATACATTCTCAAAACTAAATAAAAGAACAATGACTCTAGAAATTAAAGAGTCATTTTAAGTACATGAACTCTACAAAACTTGATCTGGTTCACTTTAAATCAATAATTCATTTAAAAATAACCAATATACAACCACAATACTTACTGATAATCTTGAGTCACAGATTAGCCCTTCTGACCACAGAAACTTTCTACTTTGCAAGATTTAGTTCCCCTTTCATTTAACACGATATTTCATGACATGTCAGCGAAGCACTGTTTTAAAGTAATGACCATATTGGATGGCTCTGAACATGAAACCAGATAATTGTTACCAACAAAAGGAATAAGAAAACGGAGAACACAAGCAGTTGCCCACAATAACGACCAATATTCGTAACAGCTTTAGGTTTTTAATGAAAAAATAATTTGGAATTTTGTCAAAATGAGACACATTTTTCTTAGTGGAAATGATCCTCTTTCTCGATTATATAGTCTGACCATATAATTTCATACAAAACCACAAAATATAAGAAAATAGATACATATACCCTTTACTAGTGGTGATACTGACTCACTGATTGAGAAACGGGCTTATACCATCGCTTGAAAAGTCAACAGACTAAAATCAAGAAACGGAATTCTGATCACTACTACCTAGCTTCCTCGCATGACATCTGCTGTCTTTATTAGAACAGGTAGATAAATAGATACTTAAAATGGATAGATGAAATAGTAGTTAAAGGTACGTAACCCTGATAAAGCATGTACAATAATTTAACTGTGTTTTGTAGTTATATCTATCAGAGACTGCCAGAAATACCAGAATCGGAGTGATATATGTAATCGGAATAGGCGATATTTTTCGTGACTTCAGGCATCTATGAGCTCATGGCAACATTTAAAAAATTTTTTTAGCCCTGTGTGTAATTTGTTTAAAACTTTTCCAATTAGTCCACTGTAGTAAATACTTGTAATTGTTGATAAGCAGTGTTAACTTGTCATATTTAGCTGAAATGAAATGAATGGAGTTTTAAGGTGGGTTTATACAGAGCGCGAACGCGACCGGCGCGAACGCGACCGCGACCGCGAACGCGACTTTTCATCAGTTCAGTCATTCAAATAGAGCGCGAACACGAACGCGGAAAACCGTCGACGGCTTTCAATGCGGATCGCCTCTTTTGTTGTTAAAATTTGGTCATATGGTCATTTTGGAATCATCTCTCCGATTCCCTTCCAAATATCTTTCTTTTTTACTGTCTCTTTGTAAGTTTTTTCAGCTTTGTCAAACAAAACTGGATTCTTTTCAACTTCTAAAATCAAAACTTCCGTTTTATCCATTGTTTGTACCCTACAAGCAAATTGGAAAAGCCATGTGCACAAATTTCTATTTTAGGAAATGATGCAAGGGAGGTGGTACAAACTGATTGGTTGATAGCAAGAAATCCGCCGCGACTTTCTGAAAAATTCGCTCTTGGGGCAATCTCGGCGGTCGACCGCGCGAACAAATATTTGTTCGTGTTCGCGTTCGCGTTCGCATTCTATTTGAACGGTCCCTCTATAAAATGATGAAACCATTCCATGACGAAAAACCGCGTTTGCGTTCGCGTTCTGTATAAATGCACCTTAACGTCGTACTTTTCTGCACCATGTGGGCTAATGAAGACGGGCAACGCCATGCAGGGTGCCATGAGGGAAATTTTGCCAGGACAGCGGCATTAGCCTACTCTTTTTCGATTTCCAACTGTCGAGGGATCTTTAACGTGCACAGCCTGTAGCACACAGGGGCCTCGGTTTATTGTCCCATCCGAACGACTAGACGCTTTTTCCATATCAGCCCCTCGTACCTGCATCACTGGCAGGGGGAAACCGGGTTGAAAAATCCGAAGGTATTATCTCGACCTATGCCGGGATTGAACCCTGGACCTTCAGGTTAGCGAGCAAGCGTCTAACTCGCTGAGCCACCGCGGCTCCCCATATTTAGCTGATATGATAAGATTTCATTGGTATGTAATAGCTGACCCTACTATCATGTTCAGATAAGTTCATCTCTTCTTTAACTCACTTTGCATTTTATCCTCAGCGAGTAAATATTATCCCTATTTTAAGGACTTTACGGACTTGTGAGATTTGGTTTTTATATTTTGCAATAATACATACGACATTTTCATATTATGGTTAGGACTTGGGTTCGACAAGGCTGTCACCTATCACAGTGGCTCTTTCTCCTGGTAATCGACTGGATCACGAAGAGGTCAACTTTAAATTTTATACATTAGAAACCCCGGTGGAACTGGCCAGCGCCTCGATAACAAATGCGTAGCTGGTTGATTTGAATTCTCTGGTCTTGAAAATCGTAAACTGTCATTTCTTAATTTATGCTTCAGTACTAAGATGCAATAAATTCATATGGTATCTGGAATAAGAAATATGTATACAGATATGGATCCAGCTGGAAACTTGTTATACACTGCACCCTGACACCAGTTTAAAGTTGTAAATAACCACCCCAATTTTCAAGTAAGAAGCATTTAAAGATGGGTTCCCTTATTTATATATGAATAGAAAGAAGGGCTGTTCTAATGGCTTGGAAAAATATCAGTTGACACTAAAAAATAAGGAAACCCATTTTTAACAGAAACTTAAGATTTATTTATGTAGTTATTGATAATTGACACCTATATCACTTGGAACGGGACATTGAACTAATAACAGCGATATTGGTAGTTCTGTTTACTTCGTTCGGGCACCTGTTGTTCGACATAATTAAGTTTGTCTGTGTCATTTTTATTTTTAAACTTTAAGTTTCGACATAACGTAGGAAGGTTCCACAAAATAGACAATAGCACCATATGACACATATCAACAATTACTACATTGCCATAACCATTAACATTTTCTTCCTGTAATCGTATGTTATTGGTAATCACATTCGATATTGAGCAGCCATGGGAGTATTTCGGCAGGAATTTTTGTTAAAAAACTATCTTGCAAAATTCAAATCTGTGGAACCTTTTTACAAACCACAGGTACAGTGTAAACATTTATTATACTATTTTATAGGGTTTCAGTGGTTGCGGTCAGAATTCCGATATCGTCGAGTGACAATGTTATGCTCTGAAAGTCATACATGGTAACGGGGCGGTTAAAGATATTTTCAAAACATTGCATTAATCTGTTAATGCTTAATTGTTTCAAATTACTTTTATGCTCCAAACTATTAGTCCATTAACGGTGGCAAGGTATTTGGTAAACTATGACCAATTACAAAGACTGTGGTCAACTAGTGCGGTGAATTTGACCGTGCTGATAGCATCAATTTGCATAGTTCTACTTTTCAACCAGACGTCTATGCAACTCCACTAAAACTATGTGTTTGGTCATTAATAGCGAATTGCCTTATGTAATAAAGCATAATTTTGAAAACCTTTTTACAATCCCTTTAAAAAGTTCGAGATTTATATTTGTTTTTTTTTCAGTGGAAATGGCCGGTTTGGGTTATGTTAGTGTATCGGGGAATTTTCTCCTTTTACACAGTATTTGGTTTGATCTATTACTTGGTGTACCGCCAGGATCTTCGACATCCAACTATTTTGTATCTAGCAACGTGGGCGTATATCGCCTTGACGCTATACCATCTAGTGGCACTAATTGTAACGAGCTATATTTTTGCCAAAACCACAAAGGAGGAGAAAACTGAAACTATTCCTCTGACAACCGGAAGTGTCAACAATGATCGAGTTGACGAAGAAGAGACAACAGCAAATAAGAAAAATTCGTTACCATGGTACGTCATCATTACTTGGTTACTAGCGAATGTTTCCTACACGTCTGCAATAACCGTCACAACGGTGTTCTACTTCGCGTTGTTTCCCCTGGGTGGTGTGAATACAGATATGGAAGACGTCAACATCCATGTATTTAATACGATATTGGTTCTGGTAGATGTTTCTATCACTGCTATACCTGTACGTCTGTACCACGTATCCTATACTATCATAGCTGGTGGGGTGTACTCTGTTATGTATGAAGTCTACTGGAACGTTAACAAGAGCAGGAATGTTCTATATCCTGGATTACTCGATTGGAATAAACCGGAGATAGCCACGATGGTGAACTTCACGCTACTGTTTATTGTACTTCCATTACTACAATTTATGTTTTTCGGTTTCTATCGACTCCGTCTCTTCATCTTTGAGAAAATATATAAGCAAAAGTATGAACATGAACCATAATCTAAACTGTTTTATTTGATTTATTTATAAATATGTTTAGGATCTCATATAATTTGTTATATTTTAATCTATTGGCTTTCCAATGGTTAGAATTCTTCCCTATTCAACCACATGGTGCAAATTTATCTTCCCGAACTATCAGTCAATTCAGATTTAAATGTAGCTTAGTATAGTTGGTCTCAAAGTAATGGCCAATTGTTAATGCCAAAATACTGTTACCAACATATCTTATATTAAGTATTTACAATTACTACACAATTACAATGATTATACACGATTACAATGATTATACGCGATTACAACTTTACTATTATCCAAAATTACAATGATTATACAGGCTAAAATTATTATACACAATTACAATGATTATACATGATTACAAGGATTATACGCGATTACAACTATTATCCACAATTACAATGATTATACACGATTACAATGATTATACACGACTACAATGATTATAAACAATTACAATGATTATACACGATTACGATGATTATACACGATTATGATGATTATACACTACTACCATGATTATACACAATTACAATGAGTATACATGATTGCAATGATTATACACGATTATAATGATTATACACGATTACGATGATTATACACGACTACAATGATTATAGGTGATTACAGTGATTATACACGATAACAATGGTAATACACGATCTCTGATTTTAAAAGATTAGATTACAATTATTCAAAATGATTAAAATGATTATACGTCAATACAATGATTATAGCAGAGTATACATGATTTCAACGATTATACAAATAGGTCAGTTGTCTGAAGATCGCATAGCGAGACCCTCTGAGTAACAACATTTTCGTATAGCCTATGTTTTAATATTTCTAATTACAATGTTTATACATAAATGCAAAGAATGAGTAAATATGATTTTTAAAGAGTTTACATGATTGCATTGAGTACATTGATCATACATGATTCCATTGATTATACATGATTCCATTGATTATTGATGATTACATTGATTATAAATGATTATAAATGATTACATCGATTATAAATGATTACATTGATTATACATGATAACATTGATTATACATGATTACATTGATTATACATGATTACATTGATAAAAACGATTAAATCGTGCTAACGTTGATTACACACGATTACAATGAATAAACAAGATTACAATGATTATACGTAAGTGCAATGATTTAAATTGATTCATTGCTTATACGTGATTACATCGATTTTACATTATTACTATGATTAAAGATGATTACAATGTTTACACGTTACTACATCGATTATACGTGATTACATTGATTATACATGAATACAATGAGTAAACGTGATTTCAACAATTAAACATCATACCAATGATTTCAAGAATTATACGATTGCTATAACTATATAAGGCTATTTTTTTCACAATGTTTTTCGTGATTACATTATTACAATGCTTGATAATAATGAATATCCATGGTTGCAATGGTATTTTAAGGTTAATTATGGACAATCGTTATTTCTCTCTACAATAAGTATGAATTACACAATGTGAAACATATGTCTGAGCATTGATCAAAGATAAGACTGATTGATAAACTCGCGTACTTATCTTATCTGAAGTGGATCACTTGTTTTTGAAAGATACTGACCACATTACTAAATTCTATTTTTGAAACTTTCTCATGACTTGAAGGACACATTTCAGGCGATAATATTCATTTGCCATTATACGACGATTATATCCAAAACACGTGATGACAATTTTCTCACATTTATTCTATTAATATTGAGAAAACCTCTGTTCATTGAGACATAAACGTAGAACGTAAAACTCCGTTCATTTCTATTCATAGAGAGAATAAACAGAAAGAGAATACCGATGTCATTGCAACATTTCTTTAATTTCATACTACATGGTGGTTGTGTCCTTAAAAGCCCAAACTGGTGCACGAAAGTAAAAAGCAACACTCGATTTGATTTCACTTATACTCTTAAATATTTGTTTGCTTTTCGGACAAACTTACCTATTACATTATTACACTTGATATAACATTGATTATACGTGATTACTATGATTATACGTGATTACTATGATTATACGTGATTACAATGATTATACTTGCTTAATATGGTAACAATGATCATACGTGATTACAATGATTATACGTGATTTCAATGATTATACGTGATTACAATGATTATACGTGATTACAATGATTATACGTGATTACAATGATTATACGAGATGTCAATGATTATACGTGATTATACGAGATTATACCTCATTATACGTGATTACATTGATTATACGTGATTATAATGATTATACGTGATTACAATGATTATACGTGATTACAATGATTATTCGAGATTACTATGATTATACGTGATTACAATGATTATACGTGCTTAATATGGTTACAATGATCATACGTGATTACAATGATTATATGTGATTTCAATAATTATACGTGATTACAATGATTATACGTGATTACAATGAGTATACGTGATTACAATGATTATACGAGATGACAATGATTATACGTCATTATACGTGATTATACGAGATTATACCTCATTATACGTGATTACAAGGATTATACGTGATTATACGTGATTACAATGATTATACGTGATTATAATGATTATACGTGATTACAATGAGTATACGTGATTACAATGATTATTCGAGATTAATGTGGTTAAATGATCATACGTGTTACATTGATTACACGCGGTTACAAAGATTATACACGATTACAATGATCATACGTGATTACAATGATTATACGTGATTACAATGATTATACGTGATTACAATGATTATACGTGATTATAATGATTAAACGTGATTAATATGGTTACAACGATGATACGTGATTACATTAACTACACGCGATTACAAAGATTATACAACGATTACAATGATCATACGTGATTACAATGATCTCAATGAGCACACGTGGTTACGAAGATTATACATGATTACAAAGATTATACATGATTACCATAAGCAAACTTGATTACTATCATCACACGCCATTACAATGGTTATACACGCTTACAATGATCATACGTGATAACAATAATTATACTTGATTACATTGATCATGCGTGATTACATTGATTATACACGGTTACATTGATTATACAAGATTTCAATGATTATACACTTGATTATATGTGATAACATTGATTATAAATGATTAAAATGATTATGTACGATTGAAGAAATATACAGAAAAAGTATGACATACAATTGTCATTCGGATTGATTGTAAGAGTTATTTGGTTATTTTATGTCAATAACAAGAAAAGCCAATTACATTTTTTTAGCAACACGAGTGAGTTGATACTACTTTATCTAATTAAGAGTAATTTTGTTTGAGTTGTATTTATGACGCAGTAAATAGAGTTTACTCGAAAATCTCTGGTGATTTCTTACCTCTTGCTTGAGGTCAATTAATATCACGTCAATCGACTCCAAGTCAGCACGACAGAATATCACCATGAAGACACCAATCTATAATAATCAATTAGTTAATTTTTCTATTCATAGGTAGTTATATTCAAACACATGTAACCGTAGTGCAATGTAAATTTGCTAAACAGAATGCAATTAAAGTCTAGAAATGCGCAGTGTCACACAATATGATAAAAGTTTTGAAAGGAGGACCACTAGTAATCTTAAAATGTATTGAAATTGGTTGAATGTATGTGCAAGGCGCATATTGTATAATCATAATACAGAGTTGGATATTAAATCAGACCAGTTTAAAAGCCGAGTATAAATAGATTATGTTTAAACAAGACTAGTGAGTGTGAGTACTCGTCATTGAAGTGAAGTACATTGAATCAAACCGACTAAAGCTGTTGGAAGGAGTACCGCCATGTCAGCTATTGATGTCCTCAAAAGTGAGTTTCAACTGAAGAATTTTTGGTTGTCTTTTCCACACAAGCAACCATTCTACACCAGCCAGGTTAGAGAATTTCTATTTTAATTGACTTATTTCATCTCGTTCTGCTTATATGTGTTTAGGATACGCAATGCTCATCAGGACAACCATGGTCTTAGTGTGCAACAATCGTAATGGAATTTGGCAATTTTTTCTAAAAGAGGATTTGAATATCATCTTCAAAAATACTTTTAGTCTTAGAATGACTTGGCGTTAATAAAAAAATAATTACGGTTTTATAAGTATGTATTGCATAGAACCACACTTCCGTCTACATGAGCCCCAAATTGACGTAAAAGAATCATAAGTAAAAAACTGAATTTTACGTGTTAATGTTTTCTCATGCTTTAATTGTTATCAACGCAAAGTTACTCTAAATTCTAAATACTATTTTGAATCTCATATTTCAATGCACATAAATTTATCAGTTAATATCTATCAACGAATGTGTGGAGATATCTGAGAGTAACAGGAGAAAGGTTGGGTGTTAGATCCTACACCGGGGTTGGGGCTAGGGTGATTAAAACTGGAACAGGTGTGAACAGAAGGCACCGGCAGAGTAAAAATGATACACGGTTAAATTTCCAACATTGATGTGGTCATGTGCCAATGAAGTTTTACTAATTTTGAAAGATCGTGTTTAACTAAAAGGGAATCGTAGAAATATCAAGCTACACTGAGTGTAAGAAATTTAGATTTAACCATGATCTAATTTCTAGTAGCCTGAAGATAATATGGACTTGTCGACATCTTTTGATTCGTATCAATCCACCATCTTTCGATTTTCGCAAATTATTTCGACCGATCTGCTATCGATGTTAGAAGAATCATGAATTATGGATATTAAAGGGACTGTAAAGAGGTTTTCTACTATACACTTGTAGCATTAATTGCACCATTCCAATTTTCAGTCAGACGTCTGTGGTTCCTGCACATCACTAATTGCAATATATGTTTGTATCATTTAAGCATTTCGCGATAAGTGACGTCATCAAACACTTAGTTTTAGTGGAATTTCAGGAACCACAGACGCCTGACTGAAAATTAGATTCCCGATAAATATAAATGTTTTTTTTTTTAGAAAATCTCCTTACATTCCCTTTAATCTAATATTAATAGCATGTTGTAGAGGTTTTTAATCCAAGCCCAATGTCGGTGACAGTGAAATTTATAGTGAAAACAAAACATCGTGAGATCGGAATGGTGCTAAAAATATCTCTTTGTATCCACGATATGCATTCAAAGGCAGAGAAAACTCTTTTAAAATCTATTTTTATTCATTCCTGTAACGCTCTCGTTAAATACCACTTTGATACTGATATTCTATTTCATGAAAATATCACACAAACACCTCACAACATGTCATGTTAAGACAATATATAGAATATGAAGCTTGTTGATCAAATTAAGCACTATTTACACAGATGAAATAATAATGAGGGAATGAAACAAAATATATAACAACTGAAAATAATACAGAACTTAACAAGGTTTTATACATGAAAGGGTAAAAAACAAGTAACAATAAGGAGTCATAATATGAGAACAAAAGCTAATTAACCAACGTGAAACTATAGGGAGACTAAATACTGTAGTATTATATAAAATGGATGAGAAAGTAGTGTGGTAATCTCTCTATTATTCACAGTTGTTATATATTTTGTTATGTTATATTGCCTCATTAGTATCAACGACCAAACCAACAACACAGCATCATCCAAGATGAACCAATCCAACTACTACGACTACCAACAACTACCCAGTTTGCGATATCAGCATCGTTAACTTGTCATCTACCAACGATTCCCTCATTATTTCATCTGATGACGACACTGTAAATTGTGTTGAAATGTTATGTGTTTATTATTATTAAATAAGTGTTTATATTCTGTAATATTGTCTTGTGTTTGTGATATCATGTACTCCTCACTTCTAAATGTAGTTAAGGTCTTTTTTGGATTTTTTTTTTAGATAATTCGAAAAATTCGATTTACTATGAGAAAATAGTGTGCGAATAATATTTTAATTTTTTTTTATGTTATAGCTTTGAAAGAGAAACAAAAGTCTTCCTTTGTTATTTCCATAGCCCCACGATATCTCCGGCTCGTTTCTGTTATTAAACTTAATCTTCATGGTATTTATTCTATGATATAGCAATATTTATTTTCCATATTTCGAAATATTATATTAATTTAAGTTTAATTCTATAAGTCGACGAGTTCAAGTCGTTCTGTCAACTTGAAAAATAACATTCAAACGATCAATGACATTTATTTTGAAATGTGATCCGAGGCAATTCAAATGGATATCAGAAGGCGAAGTCCGGGCCTTAACAATCTAGATGTATTTAAAATTGGATTTTCTGCATTGTAGCATCTTCACAATGTCAGGCCATTGTGTACTTCATCCTGACTGCAATTGCCACTTTGTGTCACAGGAGTTTGTTTTTCTTGGTACTTATTTCTAATCTAAAATGTTCTACATTATAATCGAGACCCCGTCGAGGATCTTTTGGCAGTTAAAATATCGGAATGAAGTAAATAAAATCGTTCTGCGATCATTGCAAATGTACCACATTAAAATGTCATTCCAACCCCCAAGTAAATTGTATTCTTATTAAATATGTAGTATTAAATCTATCGGTTTTTTTTTCCGGAGCATCGGTGGTCTGACTTAAAAGCAGCAGATAACCATCAAGATATGTACAAATATCCATATCTGTACACTTGTTTTCAGTCGTTTTTTTTCAATATTTGTTTCGTTTCGTCGTTTTCCATGAGTATTTGAATAGTGGAATGTTTGAAAATTTAAAACGAAATAATGATAAAATTTCAATGATTTGTAGGTCAGACTACTATAGCTAGTATAAGTCGGAAAGCTCCAATCCTGAATTCAGGATGTTTTATATTCATCAGTATATTAATCAATTGTAATCCCTTCCAGGAACATGTGCTCTCAGCAACTTATAGCTTATTTTATTAATATACCTGTGATGTCTTTAGTCGTGGTACTGCGACATGATTTAGGCTAAAAATAAAGTTGTATGATGTAAATTGTAATATGATCAAGTCTATTTTGAATTATGGAGACTTCAATTATGAGTGTAAATATAGATAATGATTTATAATGGCACATAAAATCATAAAATCTCTAATATTCTCCTTCATTCTCAACTTCTATAGGCAATAAAAATATTAACTTATATAAGTTTACAAAGTTTCGAATGGACAAAGAGTACAAAGCCTTATGCCTTAAGATATGCCACATATACCTGGTCCTGCAAGATATTGTTGCAAATTCAGAATAAGACTACTTAACTGTCTTGTTTCTAGGACAATGAGATTAAATGCCCCCATCCACACACTCACAATATAGGCCTACATTGTACAATGTTTCGTTTGTGCCCACCTGTCACATGTACTAGCACTAAAGCAGACCCCCCCCCCCCCCCAAAAAAAATTACTTAAATACTATTAAAACTATCACTATTTCTTTTATATTTTTCAGTGGAAATGCCCCCAATGGTTGTTTATAATTTACCGGGCCATTATGGCGGCTTATGTTTTCGGTGCTTTGATCTATTATTTCACAAGGTTTGCTGATGCCCAACATAATCCTATGGTGTACTTAACAACGTGGTCGTACTTAATGTTAAATTTTCATTTTACTGTTGATCTACTAGTGGTTATTTGGATGACCTTCAGAACTAAGCAAAAATCGTCGGCAGGGCAGCAGACACAAATTGACATTGGGTCACTGGACATCAACAAGAGGACAACCGGAAGTGCCAAAGTCAGCGACATCTCAGAGAAAAGCGCAAACATGAACGGAAGTCATCCAGATTATGGGATATCATTAAGTACAGTGAAGCCATTAGCATGGTATTTTAACTGCTCGTGGTTTCTAACAAACGTCATTTCCGTCTGGGCGCTCATAGTAACTATAATTTATTATGTAGCGTTATTTGGTGGTGTATATAAGGCTTCAGATGTGAACGTTCACATGATGAATACAGTAGTAATGTTGATAGACACTATAGTCTGTGCAACGCCCGTAAAACTGTTCCATGCTATATATCCAATTATTTATGGATTAGCTTATGTAACCTGTAATGCTATATACTGGTCGACAGATCCGAAGAAAAATGTACTTTATGCAGTGATAATGGATTGGAATACCCCAGCCTACCCTGTTGGTGTTCTATTTGGCATGTTGATAGTAGTATTACCATTACTGCAGGCGATGTATTTTGGAATCTACCGATTGAAACTGTTAATATTTAAGAAAATATTTAAAGAAGAGTATCCATATCAAGCTGTGATTACAAGCGGTCATAATATTTCGGAGGAGTAAGCCAAACAGGTGTGCCATCTAAAAGGTCCGTGTCGCTTCAAAAGTATCTTGTTAATGGTTTAAACAATTACAAAGCAAATGTTCCTCTTGAATTTCCGGTGACGTTCCATAATCACCTTTCTCTTACATTTTGTAATTCTAATGTTTGCATTGTTTTGAGTTACACACATAAATATTAAGAGAATGTGCTAATATATCTTCTGATACATAGAACTTATTGTTCATGTCGAACGTAAGATCGACCAATGGTATTCAATGGTGTATACAACCGTGGGTGCAATGGAGATATATAAAAACATACCTATAGAAGAGTTAGTTGTTGCTTATTTTAAACATTAACGTTATAGTAAATAGAAACAAAACAGTATATTTATTTGGAGAGTTTCTAATTTCTTAAAATCTCATGTCTGTGTCGGTTCAATTCAATCTATTAGATATTTTACTACCTCAAAACTGACCATTTTAGATGCTCATTTACTACAAAAACTGACATTTAGCATAATAATATTTCAAATTGTAATGTAGGCTTCACTTCCAGTGTGACTGGGTTGTGGGTAATGTTTACTAATTAACAAAGCACACAGAACACTGAAATATCGCATTTTCGGCCAGTTATTTACGCATTTATTATCCATAAATACATTTTTTTCCTCATCCAATGATTACTATATACCAACAGGTTATTTATTGTTAGCCATAAAAATATTATGTTTTAACTATCCAGCAATTATTTTTCATTAAAGTAATTGTTATCCATAATACAATGTTTTATGCTTTTATTATCCAATAGTTAATATACCACCAAATTATGTATTATAGTTGTTATGCATAATATTATATATATTTTTGTGCTTTTAATATTTGATACTAACGGTATATACGAGCAAGTTTTACGTTTTGTATAACGCAATTGTTATTCACACATTTAATATGTTTTATTATCCAATTGTTGTATATCAGATAGTTGTGTATTGAAGTAATTGTTATTCATTAAAAAGTTTAGTTATTCTATGGCTCAGACAGTTTTTTTTAAAATTCCAAGTGGTTTTATTACCAAAATTACAACATTTGAATCGAATAGTACAATAGAAATATTTTCTATTTACTTACCACGTTATGTTATTTGTCACATGATACTTCTGATATGACTCATGCTAGGTTAGGGTGACAAATACGAACCATAACATTTTGTCTGACTAATCTGTGAGCATATGAAAGCTAAACTTAGTTAAATAAGTTTCTTCAAGGAATAGCCTAAATTTATGTGGTTACCTGCACATTCGCACTCGACTGGTAACAGCATATGGTAACTTGGATTCACAGTAGCCACAGAAAATCAATCACGAGTCAATATACCTTCAATGTGTTATTAATGAATTATATTATCTCTATTAAATATATAATATGAATATAATAAACAATATATACAAAATTAATATCCTATATATTTCAATCAACAATGAATACATTGAATGTATTGTAAATGTGACGGAACAGTTTATCTAATAAAATCACACACATTTTTGGACGGGGTGCCTACGTTAATTTTTATGGTCCCTCACAAGATTTGTGACGTCGCTAAATTTGGAACTAAATAACAAAAGTTTACTTAAATGACAAAGGTTTACTTTACCACAATAAGGTTTCATTTATCAAATAACACTCGTATCTTATCAACATTGATTTAGTCGTCATTTCCTGTTATTTATCTTGCGCCACTTCCGGAACAGGCATCTGTTGAAGATAGTATGGATGTTTGTAAACCCATTTAAAGGAACCTAGTGTCATGCGATAAACACCGAAAAATATCAGCTGAATACATGGCAAGATTAATAAAACAGTACCCAAAAATATCAAAGATGCTTTTGTTGGTTCGTTCCAGTTTAAGATGTTGTGGTAAACTATGTTTGTGGATGGGTTTGCAGCCCAATACACGACATTTAAGAGCCCGTAAGCCAGCCCAAGACTAACAGGATAAATAGCATGAAGAATACGTAGAGGTATAGCACTGAGATATAAGTCAACATATATAAAGATAGCGTTAAGTGTATAGATATTAATATTCACGAAAGTGTAGGTTTGATCTGGTAAAAAATAGAACAGAATACTGGTGGTGACACCACAAACATACGCCATATTGGCTAAACACCACGACACACTCAAATACCAAGGAAAATTCTTCTCTTTGGTATTTAATTCATTCATATCAAATGAATGAACACCCGATTCGACATTTTTTGTATTGTTGTTGACGTTAGCGTCACTACTTCCAGTTTTATCACTTCTGTCATTATCTGCATTGTCATTATTACCCGAACTTCCGCCATCTTTAACTGCACCGGAAGTTGTAAACTTCCCACGCTTTCTTTCCTTTATGAATATCCAAACACAGACAGCGAGAGAGAAGTTGAAATGAAGCATCAGCACAAAATATGTCCAAGTTGCTAGGAATACTGCTGACGTCATAGGATGCGTCCATGTGGCTAAATAATGAATGAATGCGAAGAGGGTATATGCTGAAGAAATGAATCTGTAGAGAATAAAGCCCCATGATGGCCATTTCCACTGAAATAGAATAAAACTAGGAGTCAATTATCAAATCATATAATTGAGATATAATTCATAATGATGAGAAAGATTGAATCATGATTGAAATGTTTCTAAATAATTGCCCATTCATTTCGCCAATTTGTATCAGTTTTTACAAGAAAAAAATAATAGTCAGACCACTATTACCAATAATCACTAGTGAAACCAACGTTGTATTGAAGCTTACACATTTCCATAAATAGAGTTACTTCCCTTTTTATAGAATGATAACAGTTCGTTAATTTTACATGATGAAGAGTGAATCGGGATTTAAATCGTGCTCTCTCCACCATAAAAAATCTCGCCTCAAATAACGACAATTGCATACACGACCAGGAAGTGAGCATGACTTGAGATCGGTGTTTATCTTGAATATTGTTTAGTTTCAGTTTAAATACTTACCAGGAAATTATGAAATGGTTCCGGGTGTGGGAAAGTCAATTTAAATCTCGTTAAGTGGAATTCGTCCCTGAGAATCGCTGCCATTTTTCGACTTCAGTTAAAAATTGTGCACACCAGTTGAACATTGATTTTGTCAGTTATCAGATATATTGCTTATTTTGATAGTAGGATGGGATTTTAATTTGACACCTTTAATCTTCACGAAGAAGTTTTATTGTTAAACAGCAATAGTTAGCGATTGTCCCCTTCATACTCAAGTAAGAGATCTTGTGAGGAACTACTCAAGAAGATCACCTTAATCCAACATATTCGTCTGTTTCCTCAAATCCTTTATCACCGTTTCACTTTCATACACTACTATTGTCACTGTCAAATACTGATATCGACTGGCTGTGACAATATTGTCAGATACTGAATACCACTGAATTACCTTCTGATCCAATGACAACAATAGTTCACAATACTACGATACTACAAAATACTGACGCTTGTTCACTAACATTATCTATACCATCACAAAATAAATGACACTGATACTGCCTTATAGTGAACCCAACTGACAAAATGCTACACAAAATTTCTTACACTGTCATCGACCCCATAGAAACAACGTAACTGTCCTATAGTCTATATGATACATGTAAAATATTTTTTGCTATGTAATGTTTGTTGCTATTCATTTTTTTAACGCTTCAACGAACATTTCTCTTTGAAATTGATTACGGGAGGTTTGATATGCCTGACGAAACTCTCAATCGCCTTTGTGTCTCAAGGAACTCGGGTTTCAACAATTTCAATGTTAATACTCGATTGGGGTATGTTACAATAGGAATATCAAAGTCGTCACGTGTGTCATACAGATCTTTGATGAGCACAAAGGTCTTATGGTTTTTTTTTCTGTTGAAACTCGAGTTTGAATGATCAAGAATTGGACTCATTTTATGTCTACATCATTGATTTCAGCGTTGATAACCACTTAGGGATATCATCACATAATATTGATAGCTGTAATTGTTACTTTTATCAGGCCCAATCCTTATAATTGTCTCCCTTTATCAGCATCTGAAGCAAGGAAATTGACATTTTATTCTTACCGTGAAGGTTATAAATGAATCATCCTCATTGCTTAGTCTATAAATATTCATTTCTTATCATGATCATAATATAGCCATTCATTTCCTTGATATCATATACCGGTATATAAATACTTGCTAGTCAACCCAAGTTATATTAAAGGATAAAATATCGAAGAGGTTTTTATATTATATTAGTAATTTATTTTCCGATGGAAAAAGTTTTATCTGACATGTAAACTAGCAAGGACTCATTTGCTGTTAAAACAATGAATAATAATGAAATAGGGGCCGCAAATCTTGCCTTGAAGACTCGATCGGTTCATCAACAAGTGAGCTAAACTTACTATTTGGAAGATTCTGAAACTTATAAAGGGTTTTGTATCAGAAATCCCACCAGAATAATGGGAAGATTTGTGAGAATATTTCAAGTCGTTTCATGAAGTAGATTTAAAGATAGCGACATAGATCTTGATAAAATGTGATGGTGGGAATTTAGACTGATGGTGATATTATCAGAACTTGATCGTAGATCAAAATATCACAATGAATTTCCTTACACTATAAATGGCCTATAAATTCCAAGAAAGGCCATTGTACAAAATATGTAGATTTGTATTCGGAAATCTATAGTGACAAGAATAATACTTCGATGGTTAAGAATCCGCTGTAGTCTGTTCCAATTCAATCATTCCATTTTTGATGGTTGCCTCCCCTGTATTATAAAACGAGTCACCACAAATTCTTCATAATGATTAATTTGTCTAATATTGCACTATTCGATATAACATTTTCCCTTTCTACAATATGGTCATCTACAGAAATTGATAGTATAATATGCAAGAGCCTTGAAGGAAGATGGGAAGGGTGGAAATATTAATAATGCTCCTTATGCTAGTTATTGTTGACAGGCATACAAATTTCTGACCTCTTCTAAAGATTATCATTGACAGAGGCAAAGCTTGCTAACTGCCTGCTTCTAATAATTATTACTAATGGACACCAAGTAGACCGAAGTAATTATAACGAGTTACCTCGAGGTAACGAAGGTATGAAATAAGTATCAATATCATTCTTCACAAAACCTACGATTCCGTAATAAAACCATAATTCATAAAAGTAAATTTCTGAAATTAGACAATTTACAAAGAAAAACGAAAAAGAAAACCAACAAATATTTATTCAATTTTCAAGTCATTTTTCAGTTTTATTAATTAGATAATCTAGGGGGTTTCTTTCAATTTGTCTTCTGTTTCATCCACAAGTTTTTCTTCATCTTCAACTAATTCTTCTTGATCTTCCACCGATTCTTCCTCTTCCTCTCCCGATTCTTCCGCCGATTCTTCCGCCGATTCTTCTTCTTCTTCACCCGATTCTTCTTCTTCTTCACCCGATTCTTCTTCTTCTTCACCAGATTCTTCTTCCTCTTCTCCTGATTCCCCCTCGCTTGATTCTTCTTCTTCACTTGATTCTTCTTCTTCACTTGATTCTTCTTCTTCACCCGATTCATCTTCATCTTCGTCTTCAGATTCCTCTTCACTAAATCCAGCAGTTTCTTTCACAACATATTTGATTGGATAATAATGTCTTTGTTTCGGAAGGAATTCGTCTGTTCCACCTCCACTGTATCTTAAGGCATGATACCTGAGAGTAGAAAAAAGTTTAAAAAAAACCCTAAAATTTGGCATCTTGCTGATGAATGGAATCAATGAGTATGATAGATGACAAAGTTTAAATGTCTACCTAGAAATTAGGTCATTAAGATTAAGATTATTGAATTCTATATATCGCTCATTACTGCTATGGAGCATATAATTTAGGTACCAGGAGCTCTAAGTTTTTTTGTAGACGTAAACTAATCTAAAGGGATTTTCAATCAGACGTGTGCAATTCCACTGAAACTAAGTGTTTGATGACATCACTAATTGCAAAGGGCCTTACGTGAAGCATCTTTGTCATCAAACGCTTAGTTTTTGTGGAACTGCATGAACCACAGACGTCTGACTGAAAATTGGAATGGTGGAAATTGTAGCTACCAGTAACCCCGATACGCATAAAATTTATAAAAAAGCTTCCTCACTCCCTTAAGTGTTTTATGGTACAGACCATGGTAGTTGGAGAAGGCTGTAGATTAACTGCATGGAGAGAAAATTAGCGATTATTAAAGAAATATTACCTAAAAACGTCGACTAACATCTTATTGCATTCATCTGAATAATTCTTCATATTTGGTTCGACGTGTTTCACAACATCATCTGGGACAATCAAAGGAAATCGAATCGTATTCAACACTTCTTTAGAATGCTTCTTTCGACCCTTTTGGTTATAATCTAGCCATTTTGTTGCAATATTGTAAACACTCAATTCCTTTTTAACGTTTAAATTGTCACTTTTAAGCAAATGAACAACTTTATCCACTGGACATGATAAAAATGACTCTGTGTCGCTGATCTTTACTATGTATTTGCAGATATAGTTAAATGTACTGGAATGAACATCTAAAAATTCGTATTTCTCTGCGATCCACATGTGATCGAGAGCATTGAACTTTGTGTATTCTAGTAAATATTCTTTGGTAGAGTCGATAACATCAGTAACACCCAATTGAAGACTGGCTGAAATCACAGCATCTATGTTTTCTGAGTTCAGGTCAATATCATTGGTGTAAATGTATTTCATAACTTCCTGTACTGCATCAGTATTTGTGTCGCTTAGGTAAATTTCACAAGAACCAATCGGAACTTCATCAAGACATTGCTTTGCAAACTGGGTGCTGTAAGCAGCTAAAGGAAGTTTGTGAGCCAAAACTTGATGTCTGCCAATTTTAATGATCAAATCACACATTTCTTGTCTTTCCCAAATACCTGTCAAGAATTCCTCGATTACACCTGGCTCGGCTTCTTCCTCTTCCTCTTCCTCTTCCTCTTCATCTTCCGAAGATTCCTCTTCCCAAGATTCTTCTTCCGAAGATTCCTCTTTCTCTGCTGTTTTTTTTATTTTCCGTTTTTTCTTTCTCTCTTCTGGTCCGGTTATTTCTTTAGTGCTTAACTTCTTTTTAAAAGCTACCGTCATGTCGTCCATGTGATGATGACGATCCAAGGGTTGACCGTCTTCAACATTGTGATGTTTTGTGAAAATGTTATGTCTTCCTGGATATCGTTGAGGTGATGAACGTTTTGCAGGTGTGTCATTTAAACTCACTGTGCGGACTGGAGAAGTACTTTTCTCTCTTTGACGCTCCATTTTGTGGGAAAAATCTATTCCTCAACTAATCGTTCCGTTGGCGTCTTTGGTTTGACAGTTTTTTCGTAGTCTTTTTTTTTTTGGTTATTCATTTGGCTGGCAACAACACATCATGACGTCATTACGCCATAACGTCACATAGTTTGGTGGGCTGGGAGTCAAAACGAAGGTACTTGAGTTTTGGTTTCCAGGTAAAGTTTCCAGTCGGCTACCACTTACATCATAATGCTGTGCACGGCAGAGGCTTTTTAAAACATATTATTTTCAAACCTCTTATGCTGTCCAAGACTGATATATTTATGTTTCCACACAAACACATAACCTACTATTACAATTTTAGGCTACTTGGATTCTTTAAAACTTCTCCATTGATTTCACAACTAAACCAATGCAGACTTTAGCCTCTTTTATATTAATGTGAATAAAATATTGTTTATAAAAAAACTGTTATTTTCTTAAAAATACTTTGATCTATTGCATAGTTTGCAATCTAATAGTTTCTATGTTCAAAATATTAAGACATCTTAGAAATAATTAACTGACTACGCGAAGCGATCTAATTATATTGATACGTTCGACAAGTTTTCTTATGAAATATTCATGATCTTCAATTAAGTGAAATATGAACAATATCAAATGAATCGAACCGACTAAAAGTGATCAGATGCATTATTAATGAAGTGAACGAACTGGCTTTAAAACAATTTTTGAATATTTGATAAGTTGAATTGAAATGATTAAAGAAAATTTTATTCTATTAGTTAATTAGCCTTTTAGCGTATTTTGATCAATTTAACCTTCTGAGTAAAACTAGTAGGCTTACGGATGAAGTAAAATAATATAAAATATTGTCTGAAAATGAAACCTCAGGGATACAAAGCTTATACCATGGAATGCCCTATTTAACCATTAAAAATGTCTCAAAATCTGTCGTTCGGCTATCTCCGTCTTTTTAAATAGCCTATACGCAATGGTGAATTTCATATATTCTAATCATTTGGGGTCACTTAAAAGCCTCATTGAATACCTTTTAGTCAATAGTTCACAAGTTTTCTATCAGTATTTTACATTAGATTACCATACTGTATCAATATCATCCAATCAAATCACAGCATATTTCTACCTGGACAGACGTAGCCAATGAAATTGGAGAGCGGCTGATAAAGAGTATAATGAATTATATTCGCCTGTCTATTTTGTCGGCATGTATCATAACTGTTAAAGATATCGAGGAATATCCATTCAGTAAATGTGATTTTCTGTTTTCAAATCGGATTATTTTTTGGTGTAGTAATGTATGTGTGACAAAACGTCATGGCATGGTGCCTGAATGTGACAAGGCAATACTTCAAGAGACCAACTTTGTTAATATTTTTATTAATCTTAACAGAATGTAAAGTTTTAGCCAGCGCTTGGATGTAAGTTAAAAACATTTAAAATATTTTCATATTGATATACTTTCTAACATTTTATTTTACTCTGACTTGAACTATATGTAGCCTAATTGATTTCTTAAACTTAAACTAGACATATTCAAGCAGGAAAATTAGGATTATAAGACATATCTACACAAAAATCAATCGCAAAAGTCAAGTTTTTGCAAATATATGCCAGATCTATAAAGAATTGAAATCAAATGCGTTTCATATGTTTAACATAATATCATATAGCTGATCCCAAAATGATAGCATCTATTAAAGGTAATCCAAAGGGAAATAAAAGCAACAATTCCTATAAATATAAGGGGAAAAAACTTAAATTGTCAAGATATATTTTATGAATACAGTAATTGAGAATTATTAGCAATGTAGTGCCGAGAATTTTTTAACGTGATAATTCGAGATTTAGTCAACAAAATGCGAGATGATCCTGGCGACAAAAAATGTCTGTGGTCACAACCTTCAAATAGTTTCAAATATAATAATGATTGAATTTCAATACTTTGAAGTTTCGGTGTCATTTCGTATAATCATTCAACTTTGCAGATGTTGCGATTATTTTTATTTGATGTTAACGTCCTAAATAAAGACTTTATAGCCTACATTATAACCTTTATGTGGAGTTGAGAGCACACTTTATGGGAAAAACTATTTTTACTCTGTGTACACCTTTTTGATGATTTTGTTTTTGACATGAATGTGTTTGTACGATAATTTTTTACCATGTTTACAAATTTTAAAAAAGAATATCCGGTCATAAAAATTAAATTTCAAAAATATTAAAAGTGAAAAATCTTGTATTCTGTATTTAAGTAACAAGTGGATAATTAAAATACAATTCTGATTGGCATATTATTCAAAAAATTTTAAAGAAGACTTGGAGGTGGGCCAGAAACACTGTCCCCGAAATATTATGTCAAATATGCGCCTACTATAACTATAGTTTTATATCTATGATAAATTATAAATTGATAATATTAAATGTTGATTTATTTTCAAATTATATTTAGAGTGACAACATTTATCTAGGTCTTCTGTTTTCACAGTCTATGTTTTCAATGTCATAGACAATATGAGCCCATTTCTGAATTTGCGGCAAAAAAGACTATTTATAAGGCTGTACATAGCTTTAGTAAAAAAAAAACAACAACTTTATATTGTGTTTTACAATGCCATAATATAATAATAGGATAGAAAATTTTAAATTATTTAAAGAAAAAAAATAAAATAAAAAATATTCATACATTGTAGACATATGGCTGAAATGGTCAAATTTTGGTTTGACCAATGCTTTCGTGGTAAAGCATTTTCTTTTTTAGTTTTCTCGGAATTTAATGTGCAATATAAGTGCAACATAAGCTTTCTTGTGGCGTTTATTTTGTATATTTTTATGCGACAAATACTTCCACTTTGCCTTCTCATTGTTGGCTTTAATGGTAGCATAAAAATTTAAAAAAAGACAAATTTGATGTTTAAATTCACTCCACATTTTATTAAATGATAAACTCTAAAACTTGCAGTTATATTGTTTCTATGTCGTTATTTGTTTCTAGGCCAATGTTGAGCTATATCTTAACAGTGAAAATACTTCTAATATATTTGCAGGTATTTAGGGGTGGCGTCCCTGGCCGGGTCTCTCCAGGAGCAAGAAAACTGTGATATACCAGGGCTGGTGATACAACAGAAAGAAGTTTGTCAGAAAAACCCGGAATCTGTTTATTGTATAGGAGAGGGTGCAAGACGAGGGATTTTAGAATGTCAAAAACAATTTAAATTTGAACGTTGGAATTGTACATTAATTGGAAATAATACAGTTTTTGGACATGTTCTAAGTAAAGGTAACGTCATAATTTTATATTTTAATAGATCATTGTGCTCGTTAGATTATTATTATTTTTTTTTATTGTTACAGACTCGTTTTAACATTTGTAATCTGAATTAAACACACAACACTTTGGTATATTTCAAAACTATTGTTCAATAAAACTTTCTTTCGTATAATGAATGTACAGAAGAAACAATTTTATATAAGCCATGTGGACTCTGAAAGTGAGTTAACAATCAGTCAAAGGCTGGTAACAGGCGTTACATTTACACCTTCATTAGAATACAGATCTGCATTTCTATTTTTGTTTTATCTTTTGCTAGTAAATTCAATTATAGAAGATCTAAAAACTTATTTTCTTTCGATCGTTTCCACTCGAAATTTGAAGTGATAGCGTCATAATTTATGCTAACCTATCAAAACTACTCGAAGTTAGCTCACAATATTGAGAGAATCCAAGAATTCAACACAAATGTCAAAAACAGATATAACTGAACAAAACATTTGATTAGTTGATTAATAATTGAATAGTAGAAAGGTGAACGTATCACAAATATAACAAATTAAGTTTGCTTTTAAAATTTATATCACTATGTGCCCTAACACCCGTGTAAGTTATCAAGTTAGATTGGCAAAGTTTATGGACATTAAATCTAATGTCAAAGCTTCTGCAACCCAATAAGAGCCACAGAGCCACTTGGTTACCACCCAGATATGGTCCTGCACAATGGGATATACACCTTTTTTAAAAAGAAAATCCCAATAATGCGCAGAACAGAAGGTATTCGATATTTTACAGAAGGAAAGCACTTTTTAGTCCAATAAGTGCAGAGTTGTTGAACATTAAGCTACTTTCATTTGCTAAGTTAGTTTATAGAACAGTACGATGTAAAACTCCATTTAATTACATTGAAAATGTGGGAAATTGGACTAATAATAAGTGATTTGGAGATGAGATTGGTTAAAACGTTGATAACTTCTATTAAAATCTCCTTATTGATAATCAAGACGAGATCTAAGGGAAAATTGCTGAATTTATGACTCTATTTGACTCAAAGCGTATTGCACGCACATATTATTTCTTTTAGCTTGTTTGCATTCAAGGCGATACAGGCTATGCAAATAGACTTGTCGAATATTTGAAAACTTTCTTATTTTATAGTTATGGTTGAAATATGCGTAGGAGAGTTATGAATTATTCAATTAAACCTTGCATAGATATTTGTTTAACATTATGGTTATATTATCAGACTTACAGAAGAAATTGAAAGTAAATTTGAACTGGAGTTTCTAATGTACTGATTAAGTTAAATCATTTTTTATGGGAATGATTTTTTTATACATAGAAATTCAAAGATCCATAGTACAAATTGACTCAAAATGAACATAAGTTTTAATTTCTCAAATAACATGTATCGTAAGGAATTTATTTTTAACCTTCGATAAACATGATGTTCCGCATGGTGGAAGTTTTCTTTCAACTTGTGCACAATTCGACAGGCAGATAGGTTTTGGTTGTATGGCGGACAGAACTACTTTGAAGCTGGCAAGATGATGAAGTATGCTAGACTAATCAGTGCCTGTGGGTAGGGACCAGAACGAATTAAATTATATTTTACATTGATAATGTTCCTATTTTCTACTCTAAACACCATGTTTTTGATGGCTTTAACATATTCTTGTTTTATTTCTTGCTAGAATTTCATATAAAATTTCAAAAATGAGTTTTCCATCTGGGACATGGTGATGATAATATTATAATGATAGCCTAGTTATATCATCATCCCGAGTGGTGGTACATTTAATCAGATTTAAACATATTATGCCAATTTTAAAAATTCACAACTTTTGCAAAGTGTAAAATTAAATTATTTTAACCTTGAGAAATTGAGGAATTATATATTACAAAACCAACGATTTGGCTTCATTATATAGAAATTAACATTCTTATGAACTCATTGTAGTTTATTGTTTTTTCCTTGTCATATCTGTTTTCTCCTTGTGATAGGTATACGTCTGTTTTCTCCTTGTGATAGGTATACGTCTGTTTTCTCCCTGTGATAGGTATATGTCTGTTTCTCCTTGTGATATGTATATGTCTGTTTTCTCCTTGTGATAGGTATATGTCTGTTTTCTCCTTGTGATAGGTATATGTCTGTTTTCTCCTTATGATAGGTATATGTCTGTTTTCTCCTTATGATAGGTATATGTCTGTTTTCTCCTTGTGATATGTATATGTATGTTTCTCCTTATGATAGGTATATGTCTGTTTTCTCCTTGTGATAGGTATATGTCTGTTTCTCCTTGTGATAGGTATATGTCTGTTTCTCCTTGTGATAGGTATATGTCTGTTTTCTCCTTGTGATATGTATATGTCTGTTTTCTCCTTATGATAGGTATATGTCGGTTTTCTCCCTATGATCGGCATATGTCTGTTTCTCCTTGTGATATGTATATGTCTGTTTTCTCCTTATGATAGGTATATGTCTGTTTTCTCCTTGTGATAGGTATATGTCTGTTTTCTCCTTGTGATATGTATATGTCTGTTTTCTCCTTGTGATAGGTATATGTCTGTTTTCTCCTTGTGATATGTATATGTCTGTTTTCTCCTTGTGATAGGTATATGTCTGTTTTCTCCTTGTGATATGTATATGTCTGTTTTCTCCTTGTGATAGGTATATGTCTGTTTTCTCCTTGTGATAGGTCTATGTCTGTTTTCTCCCTGCGATAGGTATATGTCGGTTTTCTCCTTGTGATATGTATATATCTGTTTTCTCCTTGTGATAGGTATATGTCTGTTTTCTCCTGGTGATATGTAAATTTCTGTTTTCTCCCTGCGATAGGTATATGTCGATTTTCTCCCTGTGATAGGTATATGTCGGTTTTCTCCTTGTGATAGGTATATGTCGGTTTTCTCCTTATGATAGGTATATGTCTGTTTCTCCTTGTGATATGTATATGTCTGTTTCTCCTTGTGATAGGTATATGTCGGCTTTCTCCTTGTGATAGGTATATGTCTGTTTTCTCCTTGTGATAGGTATATGTCTGTTTTCTCCTTGTGATAGGTATATGTCTGTTTCTCCTTGTGATATGTATATGTCTGTTTTCCCCCTGCGATAGATATATGTCGGTTTTCTCCTTGTGATAGGTATATGTATGTTTCTCCTTGTGATAGGTATATGTCTGTTTTCTCCCTGCGATAGATATATGTCGGTTTTCTCCCTGCGATAGGTATATGTCTGTTTTCTCCTTATGATAGGTATATGTATGTTTCTCCTTGTGATAGGTATATGTCGGTTTTCTCCTTGTGATAGGTATATGTCGGTTTTCTCCCTGCGATAGATATATGTCGGTTTTCTCCTTGTGATAGATGTATGTCGGTTTTCTACTTGTGATAGGTATATATCGGTTTTCTCCTTGTGATAGGTATATGTCTGTTTCTCCTTGTGATATGTATATGTCTGTTTCTCCTTGTGATAGGTATATGTCGGTTTTCTCCTTGTGATATGTATATGTCTGTTTTCTCCTTATGATAGGTCTATGTCTGTTTTCTCCCTGCGATAGGTATATGTCGGTTTTCTCCTTGTGATATGTATATGTCTGTTTTCTCCTTGTGATAGGTATATGTCTGTTTCTCCTGGTGATATGTATATGTCTGTTTTCTCCTTGTGATAGGTATATGTCTGTTTCTCCTTGTGATATGTAAATGTCTGTTTTCTCTCTGCGATAGGTATATGTCGGTTTTCTCCCTGTGATAGGTATATGTCGGTTTTCTCCTTGTGATAGGTATATGTCGGTTTTCTCCTTGTGATAGGTATATGTCTGTTTCTCCTTGTGATATGTATATGTCTGTTTCTCCTTGTGATAGGTATATGTCTGTTTTCTCCTTGTGATAGGTATATGTCTGTTTTCTCCTTGTGATAGGTATATGTCGGTTTTCTCCCTGCGATAGGTATATGTCGGTTTTCTCCTTGTGATAGGTATATGTCGGTTTTCTCCCTGTGATAGGTATATGTCGGTTTTCTCCTTGTGATAGGTATATGTCGGTTTTCTCCTTGTGATAGGTATATGGTGGTTTTCTCCCTGTGATAGGTATATGTCTGGTTTCTCCCTGTGAAATGTATATGTCTGTTTCTCCTTGTGATAGGTATATGTCTGTTTTCTCCTTGTGATATGTATATGTCTGTTTTCTCCTTGTGATAGGTATACGTCTGTTTTCTCCCTGTGATAGGTATATGTCTGTTTTCTCCTTGTGATATGTATATGTCTGTTTTCTCCTTGTGATAGGTATATGTCTGTTTTCTCCCTGTGATAGGTATATGTCAGCTTTCTCCTGACGTATTCGTCTTTTGCTTCTTGTGATTCGATTATTAGATACAATGTATATATCAGGTTGTCCTTTTGACTTGAAAAGTGGTTGTATATGTAATAGAGTTCTCCTTACGACTTAAGTTTATATAGCAGCTTTTTGGTTTTATGTCAATTTTCATCTGTAGATTTGAATGATGAGTGTAAAATGAATCCATGTGGTTTGAACACTGATTTTAAAAGATATAATGTCGGTGTTTTCACTCTGATATACACACTTAAAATCGTATTATTGTATCATACGAACACATTAAAAATAGCAATGATAGCTTTTAATAGAAACCGAATTCTGTGAAAAAGTCGTAAAAACTCTTAATAAAACTCGCTCATTCTTGTTATTTCTCTGTACGATCATTAATGATCGGGGTAAAATAGGTTATAGCGAGCAGACAAAAGCTACAAGTCTAACTTGGGTTTTATGGCTTTATTTTGGCAGTGTATTTTATGGCTAACAACTTTGGCAATTGTACAATATTTAAATGTGTATTCACAAGCCGTATGATTAGAATGTCTGTCTTTTTCTCTTCGAGCAAAGTAATCAAATTTTCATATATTTTGATTCTATGATATTTGTGTGAGAGGAGCTTACAATTTCAAAACATCTGATGCCACTAGCTACCAACACCCAAGGCTATTGAATACAATAACTTTCTTTTTCTCTTCATCGAGAAAAGTACTCAAATTGTGTAGGAGAGATGTGCCTAAAATTCTAGTTTTCTTACGGGCCAATGATTAGAATGGGGGTAAATGGGTCCATGTTTCCAGAGTCGACATGAAATGTGATGAACGAGTTTAAGCTATCAATTTTATCAGATGATGAACCTAAACAGATGACGTCAATTGAAATTAATGTCCTTAGGTAGGATCCAATCGAAATTATTTTGTCGTTTCAGATCATGATTTCAGACATGTAGGAATTAGTATCCGAATTATATTCGATGATTCGCTATATGCAGCAATATAGAATTTTGAAACGGCATGTGTTTTAGTAAATAATAACCCTGTATTTTACCTTAACAAGTTTCATTCACCAAATAACAATGTTTATAAAAAGATTTACACGTGTTTTTCACGATATTTTCTATATCATTGAACAATGTATCAGTTATATTGACTTAGTGATGATAATCCCTTCTTAATCCTACTGTTTATATATACTGTCTTTATCTGATTGTACTCACTAGTTGACAACTGAACTATTTAACTATATCACGTCTTACCGTCTCTCTCCTTTTCATTCGACTAGATTACCGTTAGAAATTACCCCTAAGTTCGTTTAAGGAAACAAGAGCCCACCTTTACCTATTCAGAGGCCTGTAAAAGGAATGCAGACAGAGGTTTGGTTCACAGTTAGGCTCGAAATGGGTGTAGAAAAGATGTTTCTTTTATAAAATAAACTCAATGGATTCGCGTTGACTTCGTTTTAAATCTTTAAAAGGTTTGTAAACATCAGAATGGTATATATAAGAATGCTTGTAAACATCACTAGCTATGAGTATTCTTTGAAATGACTGGCTAGTTTTTAGAAGAGCCAAAAAGGAGAGAGTTATTATGGGTAACAGGAGCCCAATTTGTCAATCTGGAAGAGAATGAAATAGGAAGATTAGTCTGTAAGTGTAGTTCCAATCTTGGTGACCAAAACCATTACAACTTTATAATTCTGATACTGTCTTGATGGTAAGGAGGAAATCATAAAAATAACACCATCGACTGTAATATCAATTGTAACCCATCGTTCATATCAGATATTATGAGGTACGAATACCACATGTCATGGTTCTTATTCTTATTTCCATTTAGTTCCATATTAATGAGTAGAATTCAAAGTCGTTTTAAAAATGGACATGGAATTGTTATTTTGCTCCTTTGGTGACTGTTTGTTTCAAAATGTAGTACAAATCAGGCAAGATAAAAGGAATGTCTCGGACTATTGTAAGTTAGGCTGTTGGCAGGTAAACATTCTAACCGCAAGTATTGTAGAGGATGAATATATAAGCTGTCAAATCAGTTGAAATTCATCAGGAGACACGAGGGGAAAGCCTTGGTTATACAGTGATTATGCAGAGACTTGCCCAGATTAACGTCAGATGCACTATTGCATACTATCGGAAGGGAGTGGGTTACCTGATATCGCGTTCCACTGCACTTAGACTAACAAAAACCTTATTAGTAAAACTGTTAAAGGGTGGGGAGAGGGGGGGGGGGGGGGGGTCTAAATTGATCCCATAATTTAATTGATTATTCATATTGCCAAACTAAAAATATTGCATAGCCTCATCATTCAACCACTGCTTTCCGATAGTCTATACACTACACCATCCGGTTCGCTTGCACTGGGTTCCTTGGCACATAGCTATCTAGCTAACTGCCAGACCAGCTTCCAGTTATTAATGAATTATTAAAGGCCTAATTCAGAATTACAATTTAAACCCGGGTTTTTACCTTGTATAGTTAAAATTGAATACTGATGTGATTATGTGTCTTGCTGAAAGAAATGACGAATTATATCATTCAGTTAAGAATGATGTCTGGTATTCCGGAAGTTCTAACCACATCCGTACTTGCGCACTAATAGAGTTGCATAATACACAAATTGAAAGTTTTTGTCAGAGTGTGAAAAGATGAAAATTGAGATGATATTTGATAATAATTTTATGGATTTCCACATCAGATAAAATAAGACGAGGAGAACATCTGGTACTATTAAAATTCTGGAATCACATAAAAATACAGGAAAAGAAACGAAAACAACATGAGATATGGATAATGAGGCAAACAGAGATTTTGATAATTAAGAAACAACTTTCCACAATAAAACACATTTTACAACTTTTATTTATTTATACACAAAACATACATTTCAATTTTTATTACAGTCACGTGATTAAACATGCTTTTTTAGAACAATGCATGCATGCATGTTGTATTTTGGTATAAGAATGATAAGGATATTAACCTTTGAACTCTTTGAAGTTAAAAGTTTGTATCATTCCATCGAAATTCCATTGCCAACTTCCATTGATACATCTGTTAAGGCTATACTCTTACCCCATCCCCGTCAAATTGAAGATACATTTTGTATTTTTCATAATGCTGGGCATAGCAAACAACTACCACTGTACTAAATGTCATTCAAAGACTTTATCACTATACCAATACTGAACATACCATTCTGTCTAACAACAGAAAACTGACACTGTACCAATGCTGAACATACCATTCTGTCTAACAACAGAAAACTGACACTGTACCAATGCTGAACATATCATTCTATCTAACAACAGAAAACTGACACTGTACCAATGCTGAACATATCATTCTATCTAACAACAGAAAACTGACACTGTACCAATGCTGAACATACCATTCTGTCTAACAACAGAAAACTGACACTCTACCAATGCTGAACATATCATTCTATCTAACAACAGAAAACTGACACTGTACCAATGCTGAACATACCATTCTGTCTAACAACAGAAAACTGACACTGTACCAATGCTGAACATATCATTCTATCTAACAACAGAAAACTGACACTGTACCAATGCTGAACATATCATTCTATCTAACAACAGAAAACTGACACTGTACCAACGCTGAACATATCATTCTATCTAACAACAGAAAACTGACACTGTACCAATGCTGAACATATCATTCTATCTAACAACAGAAAACTGACACTGTACCAATGCTGAACATACCATTCTGTCTAACAACAGAAAACTGACACTGTACCAATGCTGAACATATCATTCTATCTAACAACAGAAAACTGACACTGTACCAACGCTGAACATATCATTCTATCTAACAACAGAAAACTGACACTGTACCAATGCTGAACATACCATTCTGTCTAACAACAGAAAATTGACACTGTACCAATGCTGAACATACCATTCTATCTAACAACAGAAAACTGACACTGTACCAATGCTGAACATACCATTTTATCTAACAACAGAAAACTGACACTGTACCAATGCTGAACATGCCATTCTGTCTAACAACAGAAAACTGACACTGTACCCATGCTGAACATACCATTCTATCTAACAACAGAAAACTGACACTGTACCCATGCTGAACATAATATTCTAACCACAGAAAACTGCTGGATATAACCCTTTGACCACAGAAAATTGTCACTGTACCGATGCCTAATACTATAGTTAACTAAGTCAACATTGTGGATGTTTTATGTCTTATTGTCAAAATCACAACTACCGTCAACAAAGTTGCATCTGTCTTTGTCTGTAGACTATTTTTAATCTCGATTTATATTTATTATTTCAGGTACAAGAGAGGCTGCTTTTATATACGCCATTCTAAGTGCTGGTGTGGTACATTCTGTGACGCAATCCTGTAGCGCGGGAAATTTAACAGACTGCTCTTGTGATATGAGTAAATATGGGCGGGAAAATAAAGGGGAGGGATTTCAGTGGGGTGGGTGCTCAGACAATGTGGATTATGGTTTAAAATTCAGCCGAGGATTTGTGGATGCTCCTGAAATAGTCAGACACGAAGATTCGCGGGATATTCGTAATTTGATGAATTTACATAATAATGAAGTCGGCCGACAGGTAAGCGCCATTTTTCTTTTCTACTATTTTTTTTTTTTTATTTTCAAAAGTTAATTGAGGTCCTAATAGTGATTGTTTTCGGCACTCAAAGATAGGATTAAAGACAAATTCGTTCAGCCCAAAATTCTATTCATTAGTTTGAATGTCTCATAGCTCTGTACATATAGGAAACTAGAGAATAGCATGGCACCATACCATGTTTCTACCTATACACATAATCTATCTTTGTGAAAGGAGGCGGCTAACCATTTACATATGAATGAGTAATGACCAAATGAGCAATCGTATTTATTGTTCGTCTTCGGCTAATTTTACAACCCAATACAATTAGCACTCAAGATGTTTATCAAAAGAATCACAATAATCAAATATAAACAAACGATTAGACTAATCATAATCCGTCATTACATCAACTGCAGGACTGTTACTCTTTAAGTACTTCCGCTATTCAAATGCAATGGGGTCATTAGTATACAAAGCTAGCCACAATTTAGGAGCCGCACGTATAAAGTCTTCATATTATACAAAGCTAGAATTGTTTTATTAGTCGCGATAAGAGAAGAGTAAAAGAGAAGATAATTTGTTTACGTGAAGGTATTATTAAGGAGGATTATGGGTAATCTACACTTGAGTCAGTTATCTGTACTCTTCAGATTGTTTCAAACTTCAAACACGCCGGTAGTCGACAGTGAAGGTGTTAAAGGCCTCTACATACGAAACCGTTTTCAGATGCAGTCAAGTGATTTGTACAAGGCTTTAGTCAGGTTCACTACACACAACCTTTAGTCAAAATTCCAAATTCAATAATTCTTTAGGCGTTTTATGTCACTTGCAGTGAAAAGAGTCACATTGAGTGTTCAGATTTAAACCAATTTGCCTGCCGAGGTGTTTTAGATTTTCCATGCTGATCAAATATTCCTTGTGAGAATTCTTGTCATCCAAACATACTTCTTTTCTGTAGTAGGGTTTCAAAGGCCCTTTCTGCTTGTGGCAAGACAAATTCGATACCAGGATTAGTGCGGATAAGATTCGGGCCGGTGTCGGATCTCAAACCCTTTCGACCAGGTAATTAATTAGAGAATGTTCGTCTTAGCGCAGTGGCCAGTACCTTTTTTATACGACATTTTTGTAATTATTTAGACTGTTTACTCAATGGTTACCATGGACTGTCAGGAATTTGCTATACCTTTATAAGATAATAAATACCTCGAACCTGATATTTCAAATTTTCTTTTGAACAAATCGAAGTATCTATTCGTGGTGTAGGCAAAGTCCTTCATAATTTTTAATGGTTGCTATCCACATGTGGAATCAAAATTCCTAATAAACGACACAATAATTCACAATTTTTTCTTTACTCTCATAGATTTCAATTGTAGAATTCAATGATATTCTTCATTCTATAATTACTTGTAGAATTCGTAGAAAACTGAAACCCATTTAACATCATATGAATTGTTTTTTTGAAATGAAACCTATACCCTTTTCATATAATCGCGGACTTCACTGTAAGCACCCAATAACAGCACTATTCTCAATAGATTTGATAAGGAGGCATGGTAGAGCTGTAAACACAAAAAGCCCAGACCAAGGCCTACAAAATTTTCATGTTTTGAGTTCGAGGTGTATTCGAATCTGCAGCACTAAATCGTTTAAGCCAAGGACAAAAGTCATCAACAACTGAAGGGTACCCTTTCTTTAGTTCAGATTTCTATTTCCGAAACTAAAAAGCGGTGACACTCGCCATTTTGAAAACTTGCTAGAAATTTTGAATATTTGTGTTTAAAATAATTGAGGTTATCTTTTCTTAGTTTAAAAGATTAGCACCACTTTTAAAAATCCTTCAAACTGTTTGAAGGTAAACAATGATGGCTATTTATCTTTGTTGATAGAAGCTGTGGTTTCAATTTGTTTGTTTTAACTCTATCTATCTCAAGTACATCTTAGTTAGTTCGGTCAGACGTTCGATTTCCATCAAATAAATAGCAATACACCCCTCTGATTCATTTATGTATATACGAAAAATAATAAGGATCTTAAATTGATGAATTTGAATACCAAACAAGCATTAGTTGTTGTAGAAGCTTTTTAGATCAGCCACAGTACAAACAGATGTTCCATGCATCTCTGTTGCTTAATAAGATGGACTGTAGCTAAATCGGCCTTAAGTACGTTGGAATGACGTCATTTTCGTTGTTAAGTTGGGAACGTGGGTTTTAATTCCGGTCGGCGTGTAAAAATCTAATGAGGAATTAGTAATCTTTCTTCATTACTCTAGTCGACCCAATCCAGGAAAGACCAACGCCGAAAGGTGTAGCCAGCTGGTAGACAGGATCCTCATGAACCTAAGCTGTTGTCCTTGTAAAAATCAAGTTGTTTGTTTCTTTTTTTCCTATGTTATTCATATAGGTTGACATCTAAAGTCTGTGTCCCCAGTTGCATAGTGGCATTATGTGTCATGGAAGAGTATGTACTCCTTCACTAGCGACACCCTTTATTAGACTCGTATTGAGCTTTTCATTGAATTCTGCTGTGTTTATGATTTACACTGGTAGACCCTTGAAAGACTCGTCGACAAACTTCAAAGGCAGCCATTTAGAAGTCTGTTGATAACGGTTTATCAGTTTGTTTGTCATTTTAGGTTAACAATTAAGTATTTCTTTAAATTGACTTTTCCTTTTCTTATTGGATTCTATTTCTCTCAATAGTTGTATTGATGAGTAAACCTGTAGATAATTTACACACAGTGCAGGTGCGCACAGGTGTAATCTCCAATTATATAATTAGAACAAATGTGGGCAATTAGAATAGTGAATAACATCGAGATAGGTAATTTATACAGTATACTGATCTGGAATGTCTCTTTACTAGCCGTGTGTTCACTCGGTTGAAAACCATAAAATCTCCTTGAAAGAGAACGATGCATTTCTCATCGATGATGCATGGATTGGTGTGAATTGATAAAGGCACAACAATTGAAACGTTTTGATCTTTGGGACATGTTTTTTAATAATGTTTAAGAAATATTTAAAATTGGAATAAAACTGACGTTTGTAAAGTCTATAGTTGAAAACGACTAGGTAATTCGGAGTCAGTCAAATGGAAGCAATTTATCGCCAATCGACCAATTTAAGCGGAAAACTTGTCACTTTTATGTTGAAAATTGTTAAGTACTTATATTAATATTAAAGCAGAATTAGGGGTGTATGATATAGGTCGGTAAGATACTAGGCAATAGACTCGGGTTGTATTTAGGAGAGTTAATATAGCTAACTGTTATTGTAGTATTGGAGTTATCAACTTGACATTCTCTTCACAAGTATATTCAGTATGTTATGTAACTCTAACTTATAACTAGGTATCTCTGAGTTACCCAGGCTCATAATTTTGAATGGCTTCCTGGATGATGAACTAGGCATCCCACTGCTAGCAAAGTATGTTATTGTTAGTTACATGTATATAGTTTGTCATCCTAGAATGCTGAGGGTAAACCAACTAGCTGGTAATGATTATATTTCAAAATTTGTGATTCTCAACGACGCATCTGCTTTTGAGTGTTCACAAAACTGATAATCGAGTTTGTCAACATATCATCCCTATAGAGAGTCCACATAGTTAACAAGGTGGTATTTTTATTCAAACTATGAGAATCTATCTGAATGAAAACAAGATAATCACCCAAATATTTTATCATAGACACTTTATTTGATTTGAATAGAAACCAGTCGATAAATCATGTCACCCGTATTATTAATCAACAATGTAATGTTAATATATGAATAAACAATTTATCGACTATTATACTGAGGGTAAATATCGGTTTGTCCATTTGTCTTTTTGTCGTGTTCGAGTCTCGCCGGAAACAATGTAATAACATTTCAGAATAACAAAATATAAAAGGGCAATATCTGTTTTCCTATTTGAGTTCTGATTTGGTGAAAAAAGGGTATTCTTGGAGAGGAGTCAATTTTGAATAAAGCAAACCCCTTATACATTACCTTAATCCATCAGGTCGGATTACGGCACCCTAATTGAAAAATTTAAATTAAAAGTATATCATGGGCACTTAAGTCACAAGCACGTTGCTGTGGTATTATTTATATTTGAAACAGCCAGTGTACGAATCATGAAATATTTCTGTTTTTGCACTAAATAAACGAAGTACCTGACCAATCCTGAAATATTTATGTTATTAACACAGCAAATGTAGTCGATATTGCACCAGACAAATCATGCAATATTTCTGTTGTTGAAACTACAAGTGTAGTCTGTATTATACCAGACAAATTATACAATATTGCTGTTGTTGATACAACTAATGTAGTCTGTATTATACCAGACCAATCATGCAATATTTCTGTTGTTGATACAACTAATGTAGTCTGTATTATACCAGACCAATCATGCAATATTTCTGTTGTTGATACAACTAATGTAGTCTGTATTATACCAGACCAATCATGAAATATTTCTGTTGTTGAAACTACAAGTGTAGTCGGTATTGTACCAGACCAAGAATCATGCAATATTTCTGTTATTGAAACAACAAGTGTAGTCTGTATTATACCAGACCAATCATGCAATATTTCTGTTATTGATACAACAAGTGTAGTCTGTATTGTACCAGACTAATCATGTAATATTTCTGTTGATTTATTGAAACAACCAGTGTTATCTGTATTATACCAGACAAATCATAAAATGTTGCTGTAAGTAAAACCAGACAAGTTATTGAAACAAGTAAAATGTGTACTAAATGCAATGCTGTTATTCCAGCAAGAGGTATTTGGTTCGATAATAAAAATATGTTGGTGGTTTTTACTCTGAAAGAGAATTGCCAGGAATTGTCTAGGGATGAAAACGATTCAATGAAAATCAAAGAATTTCGAACATTTGACACATGCACTCTCGCTGTGATTCAGGACTAAATTTAGTCATTTTATTATTATTGCGGTATTTGAAAAATCAAGTATGAGGGGAAATTCGAGTTAACGAAGAAA